CTGAAATAAGACCGTTTTTTTTTTCAAATATTTCTGCAAAATTTATGAGATGAACGTGCACCCACCCAAAGAAAGCACCATGTGCTCCACTGTCGTGACAACATGTGCAGTTGTCAGTACAACAGCTATCCCATGAAGGGCACGCCCAAAGAACAGCACTTGGCTCAGTTCCGTTGTCATATTTTTGCTCCGGCACCACCGCCTAAATGATCAGCAGCTTCACGTATTTATCTCCCTTTACAGCAGGATGTGCCATTAGGTATTAGGTGATATACGGCGCAGGTGTTTTAGTAAGGTGTCACTATTTTCTCAAACGAACTGCTATGTACGCGACAAGGATCAGAATTTTAGTGAGAAGAAATGGGAGGGGGGGATAGGCCAATGTTGCAAAAAATAACTCAGTACCTATCCGTAGTCACGCCTATTATCCCGTGTGCGCCAAATACGCGAGACCTCGCGTTAAAATCCGATTGGCGCAACACCCCCGTGTTTGTTTTCTTTTGCACCCTCTCGCCTAAATATTGATAGGAGTGAACTGTCGCGCACGGGGTTACACGTTCGTGCTTTGAGTTTCATATGCGCATTCACGAATCACCCCTTCTTGATTGAAAATACAAGTAAAGTTCAAAGGGATCACTCCCCTGTATCCAGCTGGCGGAAGTGGGGGGGGGGGGCTGTAGCCTGTGGCCGCTTGAGTTTAGTTGCAGTAAGGGAAGTAAACACGGTTAAACTGACCGTTGCGTAAAATTTTTCCACAGTTACGTTACACAATTTCTGATCCTTTTTTATAGGCGGATGTTCATCAAAATGATATTCTTTTCCGTTATACTGCACATCGATATGTTTACCTGCAATCAGAAATTTACAACGCTACGCTTTGACATTCACTTATGTTGTGCCGTCATTTTAGGTTTGGGGTCTGTTGTCCACAGGGGGGGCATCACTGCCTCCACATAAGGATATATACGGGGAGCAACAAGTCGCCTCCCTCCACACTCAAAACGGAATTACCCTAATTTCCGGGGCACTTGCGTACATCTAGAGACAACCGTTACTTGCCCTTCGAGGTAATTCGACGTTCTGATTACGAGAATGAGTTTCGCTTTTGGCGGTGGCGCCATCTGGCGCCAGTTGGCGTCACCTTGTCACGACCCTTGTTTTCACCAAAATCGGTATAAACTTTTGTATAGGGTTATTTGGTGCCCCGGTTACGAAAATGACATTCGTTTTTGGCCATAAGGTTGTTCAACGGCAGTTTCTCCGGGTTGTGAGGAGCGCGAGAGACGGAAGGCAAAAAAATACGGTACCAAAATGGCGGCTGTGTGCCGCGCAAAATGAATGTCATATTCCCTGGATCTCGTGAGTTCGAATGAATCAGGACATCAAATAACCCCTATACAGAACTTTACACAAATTTGGCGAAAAGAAGTGTCGTGACAAGGTGGACGCCAATGGCGCCAGATGGCGCCACCGCCAAAAACGGAAGTCATTTTCGTAATCAGAACATCGAATTACCCTCTTCACGGTGGTTTCTAAGGTGTACAAAAGTACACTGCTAAACGGAGGTCTTTTTACGTGATATTGGCGCGGGCTACCGGAAGTTAGGGTGATTCAAATTGCGAAACCAAATCAAATAAGCGCGACTGAAGAAGCACATTCTAATTCTATCAAAAAGTTACATGACAGCCTTCTACACCGACGACATCAGAAGATTTTCCCACGGAAACATGGTTCACGGTACGAGCTCAACAAGGTCGTCGAGGTACCATAGACCATTACGACGTCCCTGAAACGCTGGGTCAAAAGCCATCTTGTATTAGGTACCGGATATCTTAATGTCGTTTTTTCACCAAGAGTATTGGACCAGCAATATTTCAGTTCAAAACCCGGGGAGCGAATTAGTTTAATCATAAAATGACTTACTAGGATCCCCTCATCTAACAGTTTGAGTGGAAACCTTTGCACGATCCAAGCTCGGAATTTTTTGAGTTAAAAAGGAGAGGCAGGTCGGTTTTGACATCCTCTGATAAATCATCCCTCTACTTGCTAAAAGTAAGGCCTGGACAAAGTAAGTATACAGCTGGTTAGCGTAGGGTCTGCATTGCACGACAGAAAAATTAGAACTTATCAGCCCAAGTGGGCAGTTTTTTACGGAGACTTTTTTGCAACATAGGGTCAAAAACGCACCCTTTTTGAGCGCGCGTGAGAGGCAGGTGAGCACATTTATCAGAATATCTTGCGGAATCAAATTCATAGGAATGTTTGCGCATCATCAATCCATCACAGTGAAAGTATCCTACCATTTCAGCACAAGTCTGGTGCAGCCCCTTCTCAGCTGGCTTAACTAGGGCCATCTTTTTGAAGACGATTGCAGGCATCCTTTCAAAAACTTCACTGTCTTTTAAGAAAACTGAGGAGAACCGGTGAGCATTCCAAACGGTAGTATTCCCTCTAACAAAAGCAATGTTAGTTTGGTTGGCGGATCTGTAGCTCCCAGCCCGACTTTGATGGCATTTGGTACACACATACGAATTTGCGCAATGAACCCAGGAATTTTCAGAAAAAGGTATAAAAATTGGGGGAGAGGTAAATTGTAAAGTAACAATAGGGACTAATAAGCAAATAAAGGATAAAGGATAAAGCATTTGCCGTTGATCAATCCCTTTTTGGGATGCGGCACGCATTCTACTTCCATTTGTACATTCGCAGTGGCATTTGAATGCGATGTGGCCTATACAATGACTTGCGGGGGCCAGCCGATGTTCAAGTCAGTGTTTTTTATCCTCCCAGACAAGTCTGGTACCAATTAACCGACCCCGGAGGGATGGAAGGCTTGGTTGGCCCGGGCGACTCACGACCCAGGATTTGATCCCCGGACCGCTCGCGTGGTGAGCGCGCCACTTGTCACTACACCACTTCCGCCCTAAAGAACATATTACGTAGTATTAATAAGCAAAAAGAACGTTCTGAGAAATTGATTTTCCATGGTAATCGGCCCCGAAACTTCCTGAACTCAGAAAAACGACATTAAGATATCCGGTACCTAATACAATCATAGCTAGCTGGGAACTGTTTACTAAATTTAACGGCTTGAAGAAATTATGTCGCAGCTTCAGGCTGGAGCAATTACGGTATGCCTTGTTGAGCTCGACGGTGATGGTAGATGACGTCACATTCTAAAAACGGTGGGGGCAGTGAAGGAGGGCCTGCTTCTGCTTTTGGTAGGACACCTAAGAAATATTTTTTAAAACATTCATAAACAACGAGATCCTGTGCAATGAAAAATTTGATGGCTTCGTGAGTCATTGGTGTGGAGAGAAGCACTTTTTTCTGCCCTCTGTGGAATCAGAAAAATCATTGTGCAGGGGATATAAGCGCATAAAAAATTAGGCCCTAATCCAAGCGTTATATTTGTAACTGGAAAGGACTATGAAGAATAGCTTCTTACCACTATTGTGTGTTATTTTCGTCACGAGTTTGAAGGGTGTTAGTATTGGAAAAATGTTCATAAGCAGCGTAACAAGGAAGGCATGCAGAAACAAGCCTTTCATCTGCAAATATAGGACTGCGAATACCATCGTAATCACCATCACCAGAATTTAAAAAAAGCAAATACGTCTTGACATATAAACTGTCTGTACTCGTCGGTATCCAGGAACATGCAAGTCAAAAAGGATTGAGCGCAGGTGACTGGTGCATAAGCCCCTACTACCTGCAGCTAGAGATCCTCTTTCGGCTACAGTAGCAGCCGCTCCTTCTCCCAAGAAGAGAAAAGATTGTTCAAGCACACGGTGCTGATGCTCTCGAAGTGACCCCACATGGTGCTCCGCATACATGAGATGTGGTTAACGTCTTGAGTCCATGAGGAGACGGTATGAGTGAGGTCCATTTTTTTCATGTCTTCATGGCAGCTGCGTTCAGAACACCGCCAACCTTTACTCTGTGGGTAGCCCACCAACAAATGGGTGACACTCTACATAATCCTAATCTCGTACTCTACTATTAGGATGGTAAGAAAGTCTTGAGCCATTTGACACTTTTTTCTGCTTGTTTTTTTATTCCGCGTACAATGGAATTTACTCAACAATATAATCACCATTGTTACTCACTACAGTGTCCCACCTAATGGGCAGGTCAGCGATTCCTCTCTCCTAAAACTGGGGAGATTGGAAGTCATAGAAAGACGACCGAGACGAGCTCTTGTCCACCTATTCCACGATAACGCCAGGCCTCATATGGCTAAAGAGGCCTGTGAAAAGTTGGAGCTGAGGTGGGACACGGTTCTCTAGCCACCCTATCCCTGACATTGCCCCTCTGACTATCACTTATTTCATCCTTTAAGGCATTCCTAGCGAAGAAAAAATTCACCAAAGTTGAAGACGTTGAAAGAGCGGTCAGCGATTTCTTTGACTCTCAGTCTGCTCAGTTCTGGGAGAAGGGGGTCGCTGACCTGCCCATTAGGTGGGACTCTGTAGTGTAACAATGGTGATTATATTGTTGAGTAAATTCCATTGTACGCGGAATAAAAAAGTAAAGCAACAAAAAATGTCAAACGGCTCAGGACTTTCTTACCAGCCTTATACTATTCCACTACCGTAATATCGTAATCTACCGGCGATTTCAATCAATACGCAAATCTTGTCAGCACAATATCTAACTCTCTAACTTCCTATCTACTACTATCCTAATCTCCTCGCCAAGAGGTATCTTTATCATTGTCGCGTATTAACCCTTTCCGGACCGCCTGACACCCATGGGGTGTCAGGCCCAATTTGCTCCCTGTGGCCGCCTGACACCCATGGGGTGTCAGGGCTGATTTTTCCAAGGATTCGGTTTTTCGACAAAATGTTTTATGTTGTTACATATCTATGTAACATACTCATGTCGTACGTATGAAAAACCTGGTCTTAGATCTCAAACTAAG